GAACCGCTATCCAAACAAAATTTGAAAGTGTATGACTCTTTGTAGCTTTTTCTTGAATATATTTGCTATCACGGAAATTTTTGACCTTAGATTTAGTTTTTTTATGTATAGCTGTGATATACGCAAAAAAAAGTGAGCGATGAGTTAGTGTCATATTTAGGTCAAAAGTTAAAATTCAGAAAAGGTTTATTTTTTTTTGAAATCAACCCTCCCTGAAACATTCAACCCTACCTTAATCGTCCAACGCTTTCTTAAAAATTCATTAAATGTCAAATTCCAGGTTTTAAATCATAACATCAAAGCCATTGAAGTGGATTGAGTTGAGACACCTCTTTGATTATTTTGGTGTAGTAAGTAGGTCTTGTATTCCGTTCTTTTTTATGATTTTTTTATTAAATCTGAAATGCTGTGACATGCAGAGAAAATCATGCAGTTAATCGATTAATACAAGCAAATGAGAAAAAAGAATAAAGATATGAAACGGTGCTCTGAAAATTACCTGAAAATTACTTTCACTAAAAATTACCTTCACTGGAAAAAAGTTGGCTACTAAATGAAAATATACCGCTTCGACAAATTCCTATCATTGTATATTTTGAATAAATCTTCCTGTTTATCAAAGGTTAATTGACCAAGGATGGCATCATATTTTCGGGTCAAATTCAAAGAGTTTATTTCACAATAAATAAATGAAATCAAATAGATCTGAAAGTCATAAAACGCAGTGAAGTCTAATAAAAATTATACGCGTCATACCATCCTTCAAGGTTTGAGTTATATGATTTTTTGCGTATTTCTGCTATTACAAAGTGGTAAAAAATGTTTTAAAAATTCAACCAATCAAATCGAGTTCCGAGGCGATGGCGATGTAAAATTTTTTTGTTTTTTTTTCTCAGCTAATATTCGCTCTGGCCAAAAAGAAAAACACTTTTTAATATTCATCCTGCTTTTTTATTGCCAGTAATGTAGAAGCTGTTTTCAAATATTGGAAGCTAATGGAACCATAATGAGCATCTCACTCAAAATTTTATCAAATTCGGTTCCCTCAATTTAATATGACAGTCTAAATTCTAAGTTCTACTAGACCGTCTCTAACTGCTCCCTGTTTCCCTCCCCACAACACTCAGAATATTCAGATTAGCAAATACCTGTGAACCAAAGTCAGTAATTTGTCATGCTGTTTTGCAACAGTGCGCCTCACAAATGTCTCGCAGTTTGATTTTTGCTAGCCTGGAAACAGACAATTAGCCCACTAAAACACTAAGCTGGTCAATTTTACTAAAAGCTAATTTTAAGTTGGGCTAAGACATCCCTATTTAAAGAGTCTTTAATCCTTTTAGCTGTTGCTTTTATGGTTTTTATATTTTGTTTTGATAAGTTATCACTCAACTACAGAAGCTATAAAGGAAGTTCTTACATTATTTTTGTAATTATTATTTACATTATTATTGTTGGACATCATCTGAACTCCGCATTATGGTACGTAAAGTCCAATAATTTTGTTAATCAAAAAGTTTCCGCTACTTTGAAATTAATTCGAAATGAAATTTAGAATGTCCTTCTTAACTTCACCTCTCAGTGCGCTGTCACAAAGCTATGAGAAAATTAAGATAAACACACAAGGCGGAAAAATGTAATAAAATTCTTCAAAGAAATTTATTGATATTTGACTGAAAAAAAAGTTTCAATTATTTTCAAATTTTTAGAATCGCCCAATAAATTCATCTCAAACTTTGAGGCAAAATCAGGAATTATTTGACGGGGGCTTGTTTTTGAAAAAATTGGCTGACACCATTATGAAATTTTTGAATAGTTAACTTCAAAAAGGCCCTATGTAACAAATTGCTGTTTAAGCATTTTTTCTGAAGAAGTGATCCCTCAAAATGGAAATATATTATAGGGCCAAACACGCCTTCAGACCCATTTTCATTGTCGGTCACCCATTTTCTCATGAAGGATATTTGGAAGTTTCTGCGCAGTAAAGAGCGTACGCAAATCATGTTTAAATTTGCAGCAAAAAATTTGAAAGCAAGAAAAAAAAAGCAATTTGATTGGACGAAAAGTAATTAAACGCCTGGTTTCATAATATAATGGCTAGAACGGTTGCCGCCAGTACACCGGTAAGAACTGCGGTAAACCGGTTTCTAGTCCCCCAGAATGAAATTCTTAAGAACATATAACCAAGGTGTGGTCGCATTTAACTGTTTCTAATACTTTTAACATTAAAAATGTAGATCCAGGAATAGAGCAAAATGACTTGATTCAGTCTAGCCCCAAGAAGCAATCTGTCTCAAAGATAATTACCAGTGGTTTGAGAACTTGCTTTGAATTTTGATGGGACACAAAGTGGTTGATATAATGATTGATTGAAATGTATCAATATTTGGATTTATTTGTCGAAATATTGCTTTTTTACTCAAGTTTTGGAATCCGGAGCATCCACATTTTGATCCGCCTATGTCAGTTTAATCACATCCAGCCAAAAATTAGCATTAAACCGAAATTTTCTCAAATTTGACCATACAACTCATTGTACCAAAGTTGGGCGTCTGGAGTAACTTTCGCAATAATAGAAAAAATGGCAGCCAATTGAAGGAGGGCTGAGGAAAGATACGGTTCTGCTTTCACTTACTTCTTCACCAGGGCTGTACAGCTCGAGGATGTGTCATCACTAGACACCACCAAATGTGTGATGGTCTCTCAATTTTTCGTTGCGTGCCGCTGTACGCCCATCACTTTTTAGTCTAATAACGGCGGCTTCTAAGAGGGAGTCGCCCATAACGTTGAACGTGTACTCCTCGATAAAATCGGCAGAAATTGGGTGACAGAAGAAATTTTTGGAAAAAAGCGCTGCTTAGATGAGTTGATTTTGAAGGCAAGACCAATCAATCCGGCAAAAACCCATTTTTATGAAATAGAATTGTTGCTTTGAACACCTGTAACTCAGGTTCGAAACACCTAAAAAACGGAAACGTGCAGAAGAAGAAAACGTAGCACTAATTAGAAGTTTGTAATTTTTTTCTCTCAAATTTCGTTTAGGTTTGATTCAGTGTGACCCCAACCAAATCATGGTGTATTAAGGATAACATTAAAGAATTAAGAGCTTGCTTTTTTATTCCTAAATAGATTGGTATTATTCTCGCTTAAAATGTTGAAGTTATTAATAAGCAGTTATATGCCGAAAAAATGATCATAAAAAAGCATTAATTGAGTATAATTTTCTAGGTTGAAGCGGTTACAATTTTGATTTTGATTATTGGAGTTGAATGATTTTCCCATAAAAAGTATAAGAAGAATTGGCTTCATTTTTTCTGTGTTGTTGTTCAAACCATTAAAATCGGGTAATTCGAACGACTTTAAAAAATTGTCGCCATTGTCTACAGTTCCGGGATTTTATACATTAGCTTACTTATGTTTAATTTAAGCCTTCAGTTTTCGTTTTTATTTATATAAAATTAGTTATTGGAGTTTTTAGCGCCATCTCAGAATCAAAATCTTACAAAATTCAAACTTATTAAGATTTCAAATTAAAAAAATTTATATATATATATTTTTTGGCTTTTCGACTAATTTTTCCACACAATTTGTTTTTCAGTTTGTCTGTTGTACTATGACTGTTGAATATGTCTAAGTTCTAGCTTTGTGCGGATCCTTTATCACGCAACGCAGCAAAAACGACACTAATTGAAAAACTTTTTCTTGTACTTTTTAAGTCTAGGGTCGAAACAGTTATGTGCTACCTGCACAGTAGCCGGCTATCCTTGCTAATAATTGCGCAATGATGAAGTGGACGGTCAATTTTGGCAGCTTTTTGCTTATAAATTATTCAGAAAAAGATCTATGAAAACAATGAAGGTCCCGAATTTTATTGAAGTAAAGTCAACGAGACAAACTGTAAAGTTTTGTTTAAAGGAAGTTGACTTAATTATTGATTATTGTCCTCTAAAAGTGAACTTCTTCTATTGATGAATGTTTCTTAAGATTAGGTGAACTTTTTGATTTATAATTAATTCATTTGAGCCTTTTTTTCAAAAACGCCATGAGTTATCATGGAGCCTTTTGCAAGGGGTTCATAGACTTAACTCAAATTAGAACCGCTATCCAAACAAAATTTGAAAGTGTATGACTCTTTGTAGCTTTTTCTTGAATATATTTGCTATCACGGAAAATATTGACCTTAGATTTAGCTTCTTTATGTATAGCTGTGATATACGCAAAAAAAAGTGAGCGATTAGTTAGTGTCATATTTAGGTCAAAAGTTAAAATTCAGAAAAGGTTTATTTTTTTTTGAAATCAACCCTCCCTTAAACATTCAACCCTACCTTAATCGTCCAACGCTTTCTTAAAAGTTCATTAAATTTCAAATTCCAGGTTTTAAATCATAACTTCAAAGCCACTGAAGTGGATTGAGTTGAGACACCTCTTTGATTATTTTGGTGTAGTAAGTAGGTCTTGTATTCCGTTCTTTTTTTATGATTTTTTTGTTAAATCTGAAATGCTGTGACATGCAGAGAAAATCATGCAGTTAATCGATTAATACAAGCAAATGAGAAAAAAGAATAAAGATATGAAACGGTGCTCTGAAAATTACCTGAAAATTACTTTCACTAAAAATTACCTTCACTGGAAAAAAGTTGGCTACTAAATGAAAATACACCGCTTCGACAAATTCCTATCATTGTATATTTTGAATAAATCTTCCTGTTTATCAAAGGTTAATTGACCAAGGATGGCATCATATTTTCGGGTCAAATTCAAAGAGTTTATTTCACAATAAATAAATGAAATCAAATAGATCTGAAAGTCATAAAACGCAGTGAAGTCTAATAAAAATTATACGCGTCATACCATCCTTCAAGGTTTGAGTTATATGATTTTTTGCGTATTTTCTGCTATTACAAAGTGGTAAAAAATGTTTTAAAAATTCAACCAATCAAATCGAGCTCCGAGGCGATGGCGATGTAAATTTTTTCTGTTTTTTTTCCTCAGCTAATATTCGCTCTGGCCAAAAAGAAAAACACTTTTTAATATTCATCCCGCTTTTTTATTGCCACTAATGTAGAAGCTGTTTTCAAATATTGGAAGCTAATGGAACCATAATGAGCATCTCACTCAAAATTTTATCAAATTCGGTTCCCTCAATTTAAGATGACAGTCTAAATTCTAAGTTCTACTAGACCGTCTCTAACTGCTCCCTGTTTCCCTCCCCGCAACACTCAGAATATTCAGATTAGCAAATACCTGTGAACCAAAGTCATTACTTTGTCATGCTGTTTTGCAACAGTGCGCCTCACAAATGTCTCGCAGTTTGATTTTTTCTAGCCTGGAAACAGACAATTAGCCCACTAAAACACTAAGCTGGTCAATTTTACTAAAAGCTAATTTTAAGTTGGGCTTAGACATCCCTACTTAAAGAGTCTTTAATCCTTTTAGCTATTGCTTTTATGGTTTTTATATTTTGTTTTGATAAGTTATCACTCAACTACTGAAGCTCTTAAGGAAGTTCTTACATTATTTTTGTAATTATTATTTACATTATTATTGTTGAACATCATCTGAACTCCGCATTATGGTACGTAAAGTCCAATAATTTTGTTAATCAAAAAGTTTCCGCTACTTTGAAATTAATTCGAAATGAAACTTAGAATTTTCTTCTTAACTTCACCTCTCAGTGCGCTGTCACAAAGTAAGCTATGAGAGCGTTAAGATAAACACACAAGGCGGAAAAAGATAATAAAAAATCTTCAAAGAAATTTATTGACATTTTACTGAGAAAAAGTTTCAATTATTTTCAGATTTTTAAGAATCGCCCAATAAATTCATCTAAAATTTTGAGGTAAAATCAGGAATTATTTGACGGGGGCTTGTTTTTCAAAAAAATGGCTGACACCAATATGAAAATTTTGGATAGTTAACTTCAAAAAGGCCCTATGTAACAAATTGCTGTTTGAGAATTTTTTTTGAAGAAGTGATCCCTCAAAATGGAAATATATGATAGCGCCAAACACGCCTTCAGACCCATTTTCATTGTCGGTCACCCATGGTTAAATATCGTAAAATAGTATCAAAATTTGACAATAAGAACGGAGGGTGGGGGAGGGGTTCCTTCTATTACAATTTAGCGCCATTTCAAAAATCCTCAAAATGTCTTGAAGTTTGTCAATGAATATTGTAAAAATGCATTATCAATTTACCTGAAGCGTGCAATTGAGCATGTAGCGCGGTAAAGTTCGAGCTCACTATTCATCACTATTAACCCCAAACATTCTTCTAAACAGTATAAGAAACAAAAAAAAACATATATATATATATATATATATATATATGTATATATATATACTTTTTCGCTTACAGTCTTATGATCACATGGTTTTTAAAATTCTGCTTAACACTTTTTTTTAATTCGAAATATTCAATTGTTTTTCCATCTAATTTCCATCTAATTTCCATCTAATTTCAAAGTTTGGTTTCCATTTAACCAAGTTTCCATCTAATTTCAAAGTTTGGTTTCCATCTAACCAAGTTTCCATCTAATTTCAAAGTTTGGTTTCCATTTAACCAAGTTTCCATCTAATTTCAAAGTTTGGTTTCCATCTAACCAAGTTTCCATCTAATTTCAAAGTTTGGTTTCCATCTAACCAAGTTTCCATCTAATTTCAAAGTTTGGTTTCCATTTAACCAAGTGTCCATCTAATGTCAAAGTTTGGTTTCCATTTAACCAAGTTTCCATCTAATTTCAAAGTTTGGTTTCCATCTAACCAAGTTTCCATCTAATTTCAAAGTTTGGTTATATTCAGTTCTGGTTTTGTTATTATACAAGTTCTTCATTTTAAAGTCATTTGTTTTGAAATAATTAGAAACCGAAAAGAATTGTTATGAGCACTTCCTTGATGATCAGCACTGAACATCTGCATTGAGCAGCATAATTTGCGATTTTTTTTGTCAGTTGATGATTTATTTTTTTTGTCAGTTGATGATTACAGATGGGGAATATTGTGTCCGCATCATAACAGTCTCGTTATCTCATATTGCAAATTTGTCCTGAATGACTTGTAATCTACCCCTAATATCCGGAATGGCTTCCGATATAAAATGAAAACATATTTTGAAATAGAGTCAAAACAGGGGTGCTTACAAACATGATCAGAATAATTAGTTCAGTTCTGCAATTTTGCAAGTAACGGTATCAAAAAATATGGTAGATTAATAAGTCTTGAGTTGCAGTAAACCAAAAGGATCAATTGAGCAATCTCCCCCCCGTAATGACCAATTGAGCTATCTCCCCCCCCAGCAAACACGAATAAACTCTACAAAAAGACAACAGCAAACGCAAGTAGATGGATGATTTGTTTATAGCACGCAATCAATTGACCGAACGAAGTTTATCTTACATGAGTATCGAGAAAAATTTTGAAAAAAAATCGAAATTTATGAAAAAAAAATGATTTTTTTTTGCAAAATTTTGTTTAGGCGACCATAGCCTCATCGAAGAACGCTGGTGCTCTAGACTTGTATCTGAATAGCAAAAACGGTTCTCCGCAGCACCTTAATATTGTTCGCAAAAAGTTTTTTTGTCATTTTAAGAAAGAAAAAAGTCGCTTTTTATGCTTGTTTTATTGATTCTTTTTTCAATCTAAATGAAACTTTAGAGCTTTTTCATTGTAAATTTTGGCTTTCCACATTCGTTGGAAAATATGTTTTATGATTTCATGTCATTCAAACTATTTTCAAGTGGTTATAAACATGCCTCAAGTACCTATTGAGCTATCTTTTGCACGTGAGTTTTATTTTTGGCTTCTAAGTAGCAATTCAAAAAATATCTCGCTATTAACGATAAAAAGACGAGCTCACAAATCTTAAAATTAAAACCTTTCATTCAAAAACTACAACTCATTGAAAATTGAGTTTTGCCGAGCTTTCGAAACACAAATTGTCATTTTTTTATACTGTTTCAAATGAAATTAAGAAACGTTCGAGTCAAATATGCAATAGCTGGAACAAGTTTAATTTGAATTTTTCCAACAAAACCGGGTTGAGATAATCAATCGTAGAGTCGTACGATGTCTGATTATCGACTCAGGTTATACAAATCGACAAAAACATTAGATCGATCAAAATAAGTCGATACATGAGTCAACAAGGGTCCTTAAATAGGTGGCCAGGGTCCGATAGATGGGTAGACCAGGTTCGATACACGATCGACCAAGGTCCATCACGGTCGACTGGAAAGTAACCGACCAAAAACGATAAAGGTAGCTCGGGTCGAGGTCCGCGACTTGTTTGTCGACCAAACACAAAAAATTGATCTTTTATCCTTTGATTTTAACAAACTTTTAACTTTAACATGACCTGCAATTTCGTCAATAGGGAACGTAACCTACCTAGCAAGTTAATTTCAAAAAAATTTTAAGTCATATTTTGAAATATAACAGTTGGTTTTATTTTTATGGCGCTATCGTTTTTTTCATGAAGCAATCAAGCAGATCAAAAAAATGGGATAATTGAACTTTCCCACTCTAGATTTTGAATACTTAAAGGTTGTGTAAGTCGTCCAGTATTTTAGATCAAAACAGTTTGACTCATGGCTTATAGTTATACTTCAATCAATTTTGTAAATTTTTGATTATATCTATGAAAAAAACTCAAAGCCCCCGCGAAATGGGGAAGGCACAGGTGGCTTAGCAGCAAGGGCGCTAAGAAACAAAAACACAGTGGAAAAAGATCAACAAGCAAATATAGATCAAAGGCCAGAGGACCAAAAGTGTGTCATAAGGTCTAATATTTCGAGGTCCAGAAACATTTAACATCTTGACAAATTCTAGCGCTGACAAATTCTAGACACAGCAAAAGAAAAGATTCATGCAGAAAAAACCACATGAAGAGATGGCGAGGTTGGGAATCCGTGAGATAATCACCATGTCAAGAAAGGCATTTTGCATTTGAATGCACAAAAAACGTTGCGTACGAAAATAATTTAAAAAAAAAGAGCACAAAAACAGGGAAACTCATAAGGAGCGTTTCATGCAGCAATGCAGAGGCAATTCGATTCGAATTGTGGAAACACTAGAGGAAGAATTGGCCAGAAAACTCCTCGTCTCAAAAAAAGAGAAACTTGAATTGATAAGACACCTGACGTTTGAAACTTGATTTGATAAGACACCTGACATTTGAAACTTTACCCGCTGAAGATGTGCAGAAGAACATAACTGATTGAAATATAATCTGGGGAAAACGTTTCAACACTGCAGAAAAAAGAAAGTTTGCTTATCAAAAAAGAAAGCTATGATTCAATTACGGCAGGGGCAGCGGCACCGATGAATAAAAAGCAAAAACCAATGATGAGAGTCAGGATTTCAAATTAGAACAATTGACATTCGTTCAGAGTAAATACTGTAAAAAAGATCGAACAAAAGGTCAATACGTAAGCCGTGCAATAGACATGGCCGAATAGTTTCAAATTGCCAGTTGAAGATTTGTCATAAGTAAAACCTGCAAACTCTTGTGATAAACCGGACCATTTTGCAAAGATGTCTAAAAGCAGAGGATAAAAACAACCCAGTAGATGACTTCGATTCTTGTAGAGAGTTGGAATTTAAGTTGATCAAAACCGGAATTGCCACAGCAGATCAGCTTGAACAAAATGTTCAATCCAAGTTTGGCAACAAAAAAAACCACGAAACCAAACGAAGGGCAAAATATTGATGAGAAAAACAAACTAATGAAAAACTTATACTCAAACAAAATGAAATCAAGAAACACATTTTTGAGAAATGGTCAATCATTTTTTTCTACGAACTGGACATGGGAACTCTGGCTGAATCTACCGGCATATTTCGTAGACTGTAATAAACACGCATTTCTGATAAGAGGGGAGCTGAAGAACGATATCAGATTAGTCAAATGGGAAGTAAAAGGAGCAAAATTTCTGATAGAGACACGCCGCCAATTTTTTTTTGTGAAATTGATTCTACAGGTTCAAGTGGGAATTACTACAATACACAGATCGGCACCGAAATAGTTGTCCAGACTTGACGTGCTACTGTGCGAGCAGTCAGACGGTTGAAAAAAAAACTATTCTACTAAATATAAACAGCGAATCAAAGAATCATGTTTCAAGCGGAAATCTCAAAAACTTTTTTTCTTAATATAATTAAAAGGTAGGACTTTTGCTATCGATATCCGATAACGTTCGGTCACTAAAAAATTGTTGACAGAGGGTCACAACCAAACAAATTGTATAAATCCACAAGCGCCAAATGTGATAACATTTAAGACGATTCAAAAAAATAGAAATGAACGCTTAATCTGTTATCAAACATCTTTTTAAAACAAATAACGAATGCCTAACATTGATGACCTGTCAGAAAAGGTGAGTCGAACAGTCAATGGATGAAATTAGAACACATTGTTTTCTAAAGTACTGGATATAAACAATTAAAAACCAGCTGAAATAAGCTAATCAGGATATTATACAAACGATTTTATGGGCTATTATGGGACATGCCCGCCGTGTTTTTTAATGAGGTATAATCCCAACTATTACAAAAAGCAATCAATTCTCAAACTGAATCA